TCTCCTCTCCCAAATCCCGCCTGTCCTGCTCAGGTTTGATGTCCGTCAGTTGCCCCTGCATAAACAAATGTCAGTGAATTGAATTGAGCCTGTAGGCATGGGAAGAGAAGCGGAGTCCTCTTGCGTCTTCGTGTAACCCTGTTAAGACAGGTAGACGAACTCCCCCTAATGAGGAGAATTGAAGGATGTATCTAGTGGTAACCTTGTTTGTTTAAAGGTTGAGACAAGGCAGATCGCAACCTCAGGATTTAATTAAAGTGGAGGCACACAGCATTTGGCTTACCGTAAGAAACAAAAGAAATTGGGCTTGATTGGATTACTTTCTAGGCCAGGAGCGTGGCCAGCAAGAACCCTGAAGTGGTTCTGCCCATCATCTGGAATCTTTGCATTCATCGCATGTCCTTTTGCACGCTTTGGTTTACTCATCATATCCTGCTCGTTCAGATAAAAACTAGAATGGCTGAGTTTTACAACACAACAAGCCGCAGTGGTTTTCCTTGTGGTTTGCCTGTCAAGTCGTCCAAACCCACTTGTTGGAGTTTCAGGGTGGTGTGTTTGGTCTTCCAAAACCACAGTAAGAAGCAACTGTTTCTTCTATGGTTCCTCTATACTGCAATGGTTTATCAGGATGTCTGTTCCTGGAAGCACGGTTTCCATGGTTGAGGAATGCAACTGCCACAGAGTCCCTTGGAAAGAGTGGCAACTTTAGGATTCACTCCAGCCAACCAGCCTCTACTATCCAGTTCTGCCTAGCAACAGATGTGTCACTGCCTGTCTTGTTCCCACAGGCTACTATCCCTTCCCATTCCCCTCCGCCTTCTCCGCTTTCCTCCAGGTGTTCATCTGTCAGTCCTTTCCAGCAGTAGAGAAGCATTCTGTGTGGCTCAGAACTGTGACCTTGGAACTGGCCACATTCTCCACTCCTATCGGTTCACTGCAGTTCTCACAGATGGTGTTATCTGAGCTGCCCTCCTTGTTGGCCTAAAACAATCCCAGGGAGCTGCAGACAGGGCTGCCTCTGGAAAGCTCTTCACAGCAGGACATGCCGTGCTCCATCCTTAGCACTGGCACCTACCCTCCAAGGCCAGATGGATGCTGCGGAGGATGCTGGCATTGGTGCCCAAGATCCAGTCTCTTCTCCCAAAGCAGGGCCAGCACCCAGGCTCCTTCTCAGCAGCCCTCCCTGGAGGAGGCCCCACCGGCTGCAGAGGGGCAGGCAGTGCAGCCCCACAAGGCACCAGCTTATCCTTCTGGCCTGGACACATTCATTGACCTATGGGCCAGCCCAAAGGCCAAGGGACACTTGGGGTCCACCTGCCCCAGCCATCTCTTTCCTTGGTTTTTGGAGGAGCAGAAAAGGGAACTTCTTGCCCAGAGCAGTTTAAGGATAAGCTGCACACCCTCAAGAAGTTCCAGGCGGTCATCGTGCAGAACTGGCATTCCAAGGAGGCCCCCAGAACCGTGCTCTCCTATGACAATCACAGGAAGGTCACAGTCTCCTCCCCAGTCAAAGGAATGTCACTGCTGACTACAACGCGGAGAGTGGGATTGCTCCCTTCCAAGCCCTGGAGCTGCATTTCCACCCCATGGAAGGGGCCCAGCCACCGTCCAGAGAGGTTGCTTCCCCTTGTCCCACCACCTCTAGAAGGACAGAATCATCCCCCTCATCCAGCAAACTGTTCTGCATGCCACACCATCCGCCTCCCTCTCCCTCTCCCTCTCCAGATGCCCCTACCGCCAAGGGAAGCTGCTGCTATCCGTTGCTGTAAGACCAGCCATCGCTTCTTCAGATCCATCCTTCCCTTCCCAGCAACCGTCCTGTCCTACTTCAGGTCCCCCATGGCATCTCGCTCCAGCACCAGCAGCCCTACCTACCTGTCCCCTGCAGTGAGACAAGGATAAGACCAGAAAATGACCTGTCTGGGGCCAGAGGGGAGCAGCCAGCGGTGTGGGAGGTACCCTTCCAAAGGCAGGTGGACAGCCCCCCGGCAGAGAGACTTTGACTTGGAGTCCTGCATGAGTAGGGGGTAGGACTCGATGGCCTTGAAGTCTCCTTCCCACTCTGCCATTCTGTGATTCTGTGCCGCCTCCTTCCCTGCGCCATGAACCCAACTACCTGCAGGAGCTGAATTCAGAACCAAGATAGAGTGCTACCTGGATGGATTCCTGTCCTGACTGAATCGTACCACCAAAGCGGGGCCACCTCCCAGGCTCCTCCTGAGCAGCCCTCTCTGGAGGAAACCCCACCAGTTCCACTGGGGCAGGCAAGCAGTGCAGTCCACTGCCACATTATGAAGCCTTCCCTGAAACGATCTTAATGCTCTGAGAAAAACAACCGCAGCCATCCAACAGACCAAGGAGAAAGCTTTCCTTGACGCTTCCTCCCTCCTCTGCTACTCTTCTTCTCGCAGTGAGTTCCTGGCGGACAAGGAGGCCTTGAAAATAATAAAAAAAAAGACATCCCACAGCACCAACTGAAGTCACGCAGTCTCTTCCCCTTCCAGACCCAACCACCAATTCCCCTGTTCTCTCTTGGTGGCCACAGGGACTGTTTTCGAGCTCTGCCAAACACCAGATCTTTAGAACAGATCTTTCCTGAATTCCCGCCCTCCCAGTGGAACACACGCCATTGCACCCCCCAGAACACAGGCGGGCTATTTTATGTCTGTTCCAGCTGGTCAGGTATAAGTCTGTCTCCTTGCGCGTTCCCCGACACCTTCCACAGATGGCCCCTCTCGTGCCGCCCATTCTAATTGCACTTCTCGCTCTGGCCAGAGATGTGACGGACCGGGGTGCAGCAAAAGACCACCAGGGATATGCGAACCAGGAGCCTGCCAAGCCCATGGGGAGAGGTGGGGGGGGGGCTGTGTACCTCTGAAAGGGAGCAGGAATTTAAGAGGCCCAGAGAGGAGCACATGGACCATGTCTCCCATTCCTCGCCGTCCCCCCACAAAAATGTACCACATGTTCTTGTGCTTTCGTTGTTTTGGCAACTGCCCTGGGAAAGAGAGTACCCTTTGAGTACTGAATGGCAGGCCAGATCAGAAACATCAGGGGGCTAGTTCTCATGGAGGAAACTCACCTCTGCCTAGGCTGTGCCCCTTGAGCTTGAAGCATGGTCCTTGTAGGCTTCGTCCTGCAAGGCAAATAACCGTGGCAGGAAGGGAATTTCAACTGGAGGTGATCAGAATGGGCTCTTCCCGCTTAGTCTCAATTAATACTAAGGCAGAAGGAGGAAAGGAAGGCCAGCTGGGAGATGGATGGACTCTATCAAGGAAGGTGCAGTCTTGAATTTAGGAGGGCTGGGCAGGGCTGTCAAGGATAGGGCTCTTTGGGGGTTTCCGTGCTTAGGGTCGCCGTAAGTTGGAGATGACGACGCCACATAACAACACCTCCCTCTCCCAATAACGGCATCTCTAAGGGTGACCAAGGTTGATTTGATCCTACAGTCAGAGCAAAACCCAAACACAAATGGATCTAGAAAATCAAGCTATTTAAAAGTTTAGTGAACCCATCATTTTGGATTCCCCTCTCGTCGTTCTTGTATAACAGGATATGCCCTTCTGCTATCAAGGATGGGCAAAGGAGCTTAAATGGCCTCATTCTAGCGTGTTTTGGTGGCCGTGCACTAGAAGAGAACCTACGGTTCTTCCAAGCAATGATGCCGGGTGCAAAGGAACCCTCCCTTGCTTTATCTGCACAACAGCCCTGTGATGTGGACCAGCCTGCAAGAGGGGACCTGGCTCAAGGTGCCCCTGTCCCTTCTGTGCCTCTGTAGATATTTGGATCCCGCTCGAAGTTTCACGCCACTCCCTGCTGGCACTCACACATAAAAGAGTATTGCTCAGTCTCTGCTTTCTGATTTTCCTTGTCCTTTCTCTACACGCATGGCCATTTACATTTCTAGCTGGCTGCGTAAGAGGGAGTATTATTTAATTTCTAAATGGCCTATGAGCCCATCCCACTTCTGACCTTTAAGTTATGATCTAAATCTAGCCAATGAAATCAGATTATCTTTTTAGCTTCTGTTGCTTCTCTTCCTCTGCTTTTTCTGCTCAAATGCAAGCATTTCCTCAGTGTCTGGAAGACAGAAACAGATGTGGGTGACTCAGAATGCCATGTTACAGGCAGTTGTGTATTTGGGGAAGGTGCAAAGCCCCAAAGAGTGAGGAGTATTGCACTGGCTTCTATTTATATCCTTTCCTTTTATAGTTCGCTCCAAGAAAACCTTTCCACTACTGTCTGTGTTGGATTTTCTCTCAGATTTGATATTTGTAAGGTACATGAACTGATCCTAAACATTTTTGTTGGGAAGAAAATCGTGTTGAATTCAGTAGGAACTGCATTCTAGTTAAATGTGCTAGTTCGACGGCACGGTTTCTAGCAGGACGGAGGCCTTGAATTCTAACACTGAATATGGTCGAGCTATTGTGGAGTGATGGAATTTCATCTCCCAAGTGGGGATTTGCATGTTTGGATGCCCTTCTGTTAAATGGCTAAATACAAACTGTTGCATAGAAAAACTGCCCTTTCTAAGACTTTCAAGGAGTGTCTAAGTAATGCCTGGTGCCTGATTTGGAAACAGGCATGGCCACATCAAATTTAACTGATGGTAACATTTGCTGACTGCACAATGCGACTTCTACACGACCTGTGGTGAGCCTAAATAATTTGGACCTCCTTTCTTTACCCTAAAGGACCTTGGGCCTGTTGCCTCTGCTGCAAAGTTTATGAAAGGCACCAGGCAGCTCAGCACCTTTTCCCCCTCGGTGAACATCTGAGGTTGATTTCCAGGCAAAGCATGGCTTCGCAACCAAATGGGCTGAACTGGAGCCTGTGCCTTGGTGCCTGTGCCTGCTTAAGGTTGGGAGCTTCTCCATGACCTGCAGCCTGGAATGATGCAGCCCGTTTAACTACCCGGGGACTTTCTCTCCTGCCTCAGCGGTTCCCGCGGAGTCTCCCCTTTCTTGCCTACCCATGTATTTGCTGCTGCTTTCCAGGCTTTCCGGGGTGCCCTCATGAGCTCTTACTGGTGTGCAGGGAAAGGAGACGTGATTGACGACTGGTGCCGCTGTGACCTGAGCGCCTTCGATGAGAACGGACTCCCTAGCTGCAGCCCTCTCCCCCAGCCTGTGTGAGTAGCTCTTTGTAGACAGACAGACAGACAGACAGACCGTCCTTGTGTAGCAACCCAGCATGCACATTTTTCTCTTGCGTGTAGGGCTGGCGCTGGAACCCATCCTTCCGAGCATTCATGCACTTCCTCTTGCGCTCAGCCTGGTCTTCCAATGCAAGCTGAGCTGAGAGGACGCCTGCAAATGCTCACAGAATGAGGAGTGCGCAAGCATCAAACCTTCTTCCACATCAGGGGCAGCTGCCCAGACTTGCACAGCACTTGGGGGCTCAGCTCCTGGAGAGCATCCTGCAAATGCGGGGTGCACTCAGCAGGAAATTGGACTCAGGGTCACTGCAATTTAAGGTGCTGGTGATGACCTATAAGGCCCTAAACGGCTTGGGTCCTACATACCTGAAGGAGCACCTCCTTCCCTATTTGCCTGCCCGCCCTTGAGATCTGAGATGGAGGTCCTTCTCCGGGAGCCCTCCTTGAAGGAAATTAGGGGGGTAGCTACCCAGAGAAGGGCCTTTTCAGTGGTGGCGCCCCAAGTGTGGAATGCGCTCCCCAGGGAGGTCTGCCTGGCGCCATCACTTTATTCTTTTTGGTGTCGAGCAAAGTCTTTTTAATTCTCCCAATGTTTTAACAGTTAATTGGTTTTATCTTTGATTTTATTGTTAATGGCCAGATGCAGTGTGTTGTGGTTTTGATTTGTTTGGTTTTTTTAATAAGCTGCCCAGAGACTTTAATATAGGACGGCATAGGAAAACTTCTAATAAATAAATTAATAAACCAATCTGATTTCTCTGGCCAGATTCCCCCAGCATCCCTGCTGGAGTGTTCAGCCATTTGTTAGGCCCCTTCTAGGTTTGGATTCCCAACCGAGGGAACTACCCTCATTTCACAAACATCTCTTAACTGATGAAACCAATTAGGACAAACATGTGAATATGGAAAATAGGGGTACCTGCAGATAGATAGGCTGGACATGCACATGGTGGGCATGTCGTGAGTGGAGCCAGCTAGAGCTGGGGGGTCAGACTAGATGGCCTGGGAGTCCCCTTCTGACTCGCTCTGTTTCTATGTTTCTATGGATTGGAGGGTTGGTTCTGGCTTCTGCTGGTGAACGTGTGCTGATCTCCCCAGGCTCGCTGATGATCAGCAGGGCAGAAAAGCTGCTTCATCCTCTGTCCCACAGCTGCATGCTGGCATTACCCGCATGGGCGCATGTTCATGTGAGCAGCTGTGAATGAGCATAGGAACATTTGTACACAAATGTATCCCTGTTTCCAGAGCTCTTGACTTTCAAGGTGTCTTTTTCTGCTCGGCCCAGGTTGCGACTTTCCCCCAATGTCGAACCTTCTAGCACCGTTGTCTCCCTGGAGTGGCTTGATGTTCAGCCGGCCATTGGAACCAAAATCTCAGACTACATCCTGCACCACAAGAAGGTCGATGAGTACACAGACACGGATCTCTACACAGGTGAGTTGGGAACCGGAGGGATGGGCAGCGGGGAAGTGGTCTTCTCCTTCCTGAGTGATTATCCAGGTCTTACCCCTGTGTGTGGTTTCAGTCACACTAGCAAGAAGCTAGTTGGAAAATTTTATGCTGTGATTGTGGAAGGAATTTCAGTTACTGAGGCATTATCCCTGCACATTGATCTGTGTATATGAAATATACACATGCATGCACACAAGACGGTAATTACAGAGGATGTATTTCAGTTATCACTGGGAATCACCAAAAACTCTTCCCTCTCCCCTCGTTTTGGATGGGTCATATTTTAGACCAGGGAACCACCAACTCCACAGCCAGATGCAATAGATAGAAGCCTTCCTATCTCTGTATTTGACCAGCCCCTACCGGTTCTCTCTCTCTCAATATTTATAAAAGGCCATCTTTCTGCCAGAGCAATTCAGATGTTTGACAACACACTATAACCATTTTTAGTAAGTACTGAAGAGACATGATGGGAAAGGACAAATGAATAGGGAAAGGAGCAAATTTAGGGACTGACTTGCTCCTGTACTACGGCATAAACAATGACCAACAGAAAAGGTCACAAAGGAAGAAGTTCTGGGAGAGGAGAAGCTAAAAGCAAATCAGTTGCAGTTAGCTGATGAAGGGGTCCTCACTGCCACGTCCAGGAACAGGTCATCTCCAGATATTTTAGGGTGCTACTTGCGTAATCTTGGTCTTTGGTCTCCTCTATCTCTGAGATGAACCTGGGCAGGCAATCTGTAGACAGAAGTCAGTTGTTCCTTGACACTTGGAACTAGGCTGGTAGAACAAGACCTTGATGTCTCACCTTCCCCAGGAAGACAGGCTAGTAGAAGCCATCCTGTTTTAGCTGGTTAATAGTTAAGAATAGTCCTGAATTTATATCCTGTCCAGATGTGCAAGAAGCTTTGAGAGGTAACCCTGAGGTTTCCAGACAATCTCCCATTTGCATCATGGCATCATATCCTAGAACCTGAGGGCACCTTATTCCACATTTGCTGGTAGAAAAGGGCTTCCAAAAGAACAGACTAGATATCTGGTGAAGATGAAATACCCCTCTTCTGGTGAATGAAGCTCAGCCATGGTAGGTTCTGGATCTCCTAGATGTTGGAAGGAAGTAAGGGTGCTTCTGGATCAATGCAGAGAATGCCAGAAGCCAATCTGAGGAGATTGAACAGGGCATCCAGTGGAATCCTGTCAACATGTTTTTTCAGCTAAGCATATCTGTTAGCCCAAAGGGCAATGAACCAAGTCCTAGCCCAGCCGTCCATGGATTTTGGGGGGCTGCTGGAAACTGGTGAAGTGGTGAAGAACATGTTGTCACTTGAATGTCCTTCCCTTCTCATCCAAGGTTCTGCATGCTACTATGCCAATGTCTGGCATGTTCAGGAGAACAGACCTGGCTTTGGAGGACATTGTTCAAAGGTTTCTCTTCAGGGTGTGTTTATCAGGTGCACTTCCTCCAAATGCACCTAGAGGGCAGCACATTCCCAGATGTCTCACTTTCAGAGACTTCCCAACATTCACATTGGATTGTTGCTTCCATACTCATGCCACACAACTGTCAGTACCATCTCTGTAGCCAGGCGTTCACTCAGAGAATTTTTCTTTCCTCTTCCAAGAAATGGAAGGATTGATGGGGAAGCTACCTGGTCCCCAAAGTTCTTGACTTTCCTCTCTAAAGCTTCAAAGTTTGATGTGACTTCTTCAAAGCTCCACTTGGCAGTGTCATTGGTTCCCACATGTATAAGAAGGAAGGGATGCAGGCCAGTGGGCTGTATAAGCCCTGACAATCTTTCAGGTATGTCGCTGATCTGCCCTCCAAGTCCACGGGTCTTCCTGGCATACAGGTGTTTCCATCGCACGCAACAGGGAGTCTCCCACCACTAACACTCTTCTCTTCCTGTTCTTGCAAGCCTTGGTTTCATTGCCACCACTTGTTTGACCTTCAGCCCCCTGTTCAGTGTTACACAGGATGACTTAAGTTCTGGCACAGCAGTCCCATCCTCAAGTAACTGAAGGCGTGTTGAGAGCTCCACCGCTTCCACTGGTGCGGACTATCTTCTAGTTCTTCCGCACCTGTCCCCTTTTTCCAGGGAGCATCCTCCTCGTTTTTCCCTTCCCTTGGGATTTGCTTCTTCTACCTCAGGTTGCTGTGGCTCTTCCAGCTTACTCTTCTCTGCTGCAGTTCCACTGCTCTAAGTGCTCTTCACCTTCCAAAGCTCGCACCTTTTCGTCCAACAGGACTACTAGCTTGCGCTTGCTGCACCTGTAGCCCTGGGGCAGGGATCAAACATTGCACAAGTGTTGCAGCTCACCACAACTGTGGAGTTTTCTTGGTCCAGTCTTTCCCTTACCTTTCTGATTCTGCCTTGTTGGGCCAGTTGCGACAACCAGTTTTTTTCTTCCATCTTCCCTAAAAGCTAGTGACACAGTCCTTCCAGTAAATAGGAGGGTGTTACAAAGGGGCAGACCAGGGGAGGAGGAGGAGGAGGAAAACATGAGGGACCTTCCTTTGACCTTCCCTGCCAAACTCGGCTGCCAAACTCCTGCTTCCTCTGCCTGCTGGCTTGCTCCCTGGGAGCTTGGCAGCTTGTATCCCCGAGTCCCTGGGCCAGCTGGGGCAGCTTCATCTGATCTGCTCAGCTAGGAGTCAGGAACCAGAATGAATCTCCCCATTCACAGAGCCACTGCTGGTACCCAGGCCCCTCCCTTTCAGCCGCAGCTCTCAGGACACGCCCCCTCCAGTTGCAGCTTTCAGGAGCACCCGGTCTCTTGGAAGAGGCAGTTGCTGGACTAGTCCAAGCCCCTCACCCCTTTGCCTCTGCGTCCTCCTCCTTCACAGCAACCCTGCCACCAGACTCCTGTTTGCACTCCCTGGAAGCTTGGCGGCGGGTATCCCAGGCCAGCTGGGGCAGCTTCCTCTGATTTACTCAGCTGCGAGTCAGGAGCTATGACCAAACGGCTCGCAGAAGCAGGAAGCCACTGTCACAACCCTAACTCCCTCTGGGCATCCCTGATGCTAGGAACAGTCACCTCTTGGCGAGCCAAGTTGACCGCGTGTGCTGGGTTACAGCTGACCCGTGACCCTTGGCCATGCTTCGGGACAGCTCATCAACCTGGGTGCTGTTGTTCCATGATCTAATCTGCAAATTAAAAAACAAGCAGGACCCATTAAGTGAAATAGAAGTTTGTCCTTGAGCCGGATAAACATCCACTGGTGGCGCTCAGGCTGGCTCCTTCCCCTCCCTCCCCCTCTCCTTTGCAAATGAGCTATGATCTCATCTTCGGTGGTGGGAGGGAGGGCTCGCCAGTGCAAGGGTTGGCGGAGCGAATGGCAGGCAGCAGGGTCGGATTGATTTGCAGGCAGGGAGCCTGGAGCAGATGGCAAGGAGTCCAGAGATGCTTGCTGGAGCTCAGGGAGCAGCCGGAAGAGCCTGGCGCGGAAACGCTCGCCACCTGTCCGAAGGGGGCACAGCACAACCTGGTCTGCGGCATTCTCGGAGACGGCGGTGACAGGAGAGGCACGGGCACAGCATCTCGAACTGCCCTACTCCTGCACCTGCGTTCATTCGTGTGCATAAGCACGCAACTGTCCAGCATTTTGGATCCTGCCAGGCACACAAGGAGTTTTTTCTGGTACCGTCCCTCCGGAATTCGAGTCTCAGCCACGCCCAATGAAACACAGGTGACCTTGGACTGGGCTCTCCCTCCGACTTGGTTGGCTTGTGAGCAGGTGCTTTGCAGATCCGGGAAGTCACAGTCTGAGCCAGGATGTGTCCCTTCTTTCTGCCAAAGCCCAAGGAAAGCTGTTCTGCAAGGTCCCATGTGGAGGCAGATGAGCTTCCAAGCTTCCATGCTTCGAATGCACAGACTCGGGTTGCATCTTGCACCATTTCTTTTCATCTAGAGAGCTTCTGAGGCACTGCAGACAGGGAAGGAAGGAGTCTGGAGACTGTTTGGGTAAAGCACGACCCTTCAGCTCCAGCACCTCCCCTCCAGTTTACCCCTTTTCTGCCGCTCTGGAACCAGTTTGCAGCCTTGGAGAGGCAACTGGTTCCTTCAGCCCCAGGTTGGAGTCTCCACTTGCAACCAGAGCCAAGTTCATGGGATCTCAGAGCAAGGAATCTGCCTCCTCCTCCTCCCAGATGATGTTACTGGCCCTAACGTTGCATCCAAAGCAGCTGGGGCATCCACCCTACCAGCAGAGCTAAAATATTGTGAGCAAAAGCAACCCACTCAGGTTCTTTTAGACCAGATCTGCCTTTGATGTTCTCCACTCTGTGCATGATTGTCTAAACCTCTTGATCATCCCTTCTCTCACCTGCAAGAGCAACCCCACAGGGAAGGATGCACTGTCACCTTAATGCCCCTTTCCTATACCTTTTGTGACTCTGCAAAAAAAACGCTTTTGCAAGAAGGGGCATGTGTGCCGTTGGATCCATTCCCAAGCATCCCACTCCTCGGGACACGATGCAGAGGCACATGAAGGAGCAAGAGGCAACCTAAGAGGTGCTGGAGGAGGCAGCCACACGCAAAATCCTCCCCAGGCCCAAGCAGTTGCTGCTGGCTCCAGAGTTAGAGCTTCTCCCCAGGAAGCTTTTAATCTGCCCCTTTATTGAGAATTCTGGATTCCTTGTGGGATTAAGATCAGCTCCTTCACACACGTTTGTTTGTTTCCCCCACCCACCCACTACACACACACACACACACACACACACACACACACACTTTCTTTCTCTGTGTTTCTGAATTTGCACTTCTCACTCATTCTGCCATGGAAGAATAGCAACACTTTTTCCTTTCTTGATCTAAAATGAAACAATCAAAAAACCCCAAATGGGTACAAAGAATGGGAGATGCCCTAGAGAATAACAGAAAGACTCTATAGCCTGATCCTGGAAGCTAAGCAGGTTCAGGTCTGGTTAGAATCTTGATAGGTGACTTGAATCCTGCATTGGGCAGGGGGTTGGACCTGGTGG